AGCAAATACAAATGTATCCTTTAGTGTATAGGTGGCTAATCATTGACGCACTGGTTCTAACTTATCTACCAACCATCGTGCAACTTTGTGGTATGGTGAATTGATCATTGACAAAATAGGTCTAAGAGGATAACCTTGTTTGTGTATTTTCGGTAATCCATACATGTGGGGCAAACGAGACCCACGAGGTCGTAGATTATTGCAAATAAGGTTATCGATCATGTCCCTTTTCAGATCTCTGAGTACTTTGGTGAATCTTTTCTCAATGGAATCAGTTAAGACTTTGTTAGTTTTTTCTATCTTCAATCTCATATGGCCATTCAAGATGGAATTCATCTTAGAGACATAATCTGTTTTGTTCATAAGAACAACACTTGAGCCTTTGTCTGACCGTAATATCATTACATCGTCATTTCGTTTAATATTTCTTAATAGTAACGGAAAAAGAACAGTGAAAATCCCTCTGCAGCTTCTTTGTTGAACAGTATTTTCATTTATTTGTTCCTTCTCCCTTTTGTGTATTCCAACCTTTGTTTCGATCTCGTTTAACCATGTCTTTTGTTCTTCAGTCTTCCCCGTTTGAGCCTTTATTATGTGATTTTGATTAAAGACTTATTTTTGTTACCTAATTTTCTTTTGCATGTTGCCGGACCATTGACAGTAAGGTTGTGTTTGACTAAGCTCAAGGTCACGGCGTGGTTCATTTTGTGACTGTTAACCTTCTGGCTGTCTGCTTGGGAGAATTGCTGCAATCCCTGCAGATAGATATTTGATCCCATCTGATTGGGAATATTTGTATTGATTCTGAGCGCACTACTTTGCGTTAGAGAAACTTCTGACTGTATAGCACAGGCTATACCGTTTGAGGTATTTTGTATTTTTGATGTAATTTGTTCTGTTTTCTTAATTAGAACCGTTTATATTGAGCACAGAGTTTGTGTTTTGATATAATATAATACGAGTATCTCAAAGACGCGTTGTGAGCTATACAGAGGAACTTGGTCTGGTCTAATAGAATAAATTTTGGGTTCGTCAGTCCGTTGTTCCAACCGAATATTGGCTGTTCGGTCGTTACAGTTCTCAAACGAACAGTAATCTCAGGTGACAAATTCTGGAATGCCTGGAATGCGCAATAAGGTCTACGAAAACTTGGCATTGGGCCACGGAGAAATGCAATCGGATGCACCTCCAGATGTACGGCAAGTCAAATTAGATGCATTTTCATGTCATGGCTATAATGTTAGTTTATTAAGTAGACGTAGTAAAGTTAGCTCTAGGATTACCTTAGCAGAGTTAGAAGAAGGGCAATTATTAGAAATGTGGGACTTGAAAGATAGACAGAGGAAACAACTGCTGTGCTTTCAGAGAGAGTTTGGGTCGTTAAGGCTGAACGAAAGCACGTGTAGCAAGTTATCTTCTGTTTCTAACAGTGATGACAGAGAAAAGGAGTACGTTCACAGGTTCGTAAGTCCTTCTCATGACCTTAGGATAAAGTCTCTAGAAAAGTCAAAACTGTTAGATTATCCAGGAACGAAGGAGAAAGTGACCTTGGAATCTCTAAGTGTAGGTCATGAACTTCCAACAGTAGAGCGCGATGCCTACTTCGATGAAAGTTACAATATTGTTCCTTTACCTAGAGGAGTGGCTGAGGGAGACATTGCTACCCCTGTTATTGGCAATGAATCTGGTATGTGTAAAGCTGGCTTCACCAAAAATGATGCTCCCAGAGCCGTATTACTCCCAATTGTTGGAAGAACTAGACATCAAATAGTGACTGTGGGAATGGATGGAAAGGACAGTCATGTGGAAGACGATGCTCGATCGAAACGTGTTATCCTCACACCGAAGTACCGAATTGAACATGGTATTGCGACTAAGTGGGGTGATATGGAGAAGATGTGGTACCACACATTCTACAAAGGGTTGCGAGTGGAAACAGAGAAACATCTGGGGTTGTTGAGAGCAGTTTCATTGAACCTGAAGGCAAACCGTGAGTTGACAAAGATCATGTTTGAGACTTTTAATACACCAGGTACGTGTGCTGCTACTCAAACGGTGTTGTCGCTATGTACATCTGATCGTACAACTGATATAGTGTTGGACTTAGGTGACGGTGTGACCCACACAGTTCCGATTTATGAAGATTATGCGTTGCCTTATACTGTTTTGCGATTGGACTTTGCTGGTAGAGTTCTTGCCGACTTTAGGATGAAGATCCTGACTAAGACAGGTTGCAGTTCCTCTGTCTATTCGTGGAACATACTCAGGCGCAAACCACCGGACATCGTTTTACTCTATAGTGAGTCTAGAATGGCACCTATAAAACAGGTAGCTGTGCCTAGACTGGAACTAACAGCGGCAGTATTGAGTGCTAGAATGGGGGGAGTTTTAAATAAGAACCTTCCTCATGTGTTTGACAAGACTCACTTCTGGACGGATTCTATGATAGTACTGTACTATAGAAAAAATACAGATAGTAGGTATTCCACCTTCGTGGCTAATCGTCTGGCCGCTATTCGTCATTTAACATCTGTGGACCAGTGGGGGCACGTAGAATCCAATGAAAATCCTGCTGACTGAACATCACGAGGCATACGGAAGGAGCTAGATTTAAAGAACTGGATTGAGGGTCCTTCCTTCTTGAGGAAGAGGGAGTCTGTAGGAACACTAGCGCTTATGTGCGAAAACCCCCCAGAAAATGTTGAATTTAAAAGATGTCACACGACCAACGCAGTTGCGAAAAAACATAGCTTAAGTCCAATTCTGCTATATCACTCAAATTGGATAAAGCTGATTAAAGCGGTAGCATGGCTCAGAAGATACGTGACCTATATAACCATCATGTACTCCCGTCACAATGACAGGTCCCTAAGTGTGGGCTATCTGTCAGTTGATGAATTGGATGCAGCTAAACACAAGGTATTAGACTTAGTGCAAAAGGAAGTGTATGGGGAGGCAGTAAAAGTGTCTCGATGCAATGGCGTAAGCGCAACTGATATAAAAGAGCTAAAAAATCTTTCACCTACGCTAATCGATGGATTGCTTTGTGTCGGCGGACGATTAAATTACTCAGATTATCCACTCTCAATCAGACATCCGGTAATTTTACCCAGTCATCACTTCGTAACAGAACTTATTATTAGACACCATCACCACCTAGAAGGTCACACCGGGACATTACAAGTGTTAGCTACCATACCACGAAATTATTGGATTGTTAAAGGAACCAGTGCAGTTAAACGAGTGATAGGTAGATGTGTGAGGTGTATACGCGTGACGGCCACATTAGGCCAACAGATGATGGCACCTCTCCCCAAGTGTCGAGTGCAGCAAAGCTGGTTTTGCTTGTCCTCCGTCGGGATAGACTACTTTGGGCCGTTGATAGTGCGTCGGGGAAGAAGTGAGGAAAAAGGATATGGATGCCTATTTACGTGTCTCCAAACACGTGCCGTACGTTTGGAAGTAGCTTTCAATTTGAGTATTGATGCTTTTATAATGGCTTTAATACGTTTCATAGGAAGGAGAGGAACTCCTAAGGAAATTTATAGCGACAATGGGACTAACTTTGTCGGGGCCACTTCCGAATTACGGGCTAATATGAGTGTGTGGGACAAGCATAGAATAAACGACTTAACAGTATCGAATGGTATACGCTGGCATTTCAACCCCCCACTAGCTGGCCATCGAGGCGGAGTTTGGGAGAGATTAATACGGTCTGTTCGGAGGATCTTACTATTTATTTCCAACGGGCAAATATTACACGAGGACAGATTGGCAACTTATTTTGTGGAGGTAGAACGAATTTTAAACAACCGCCCAATCGTTCCTGCGACGTCAGATGAAAAGGATGATTTGGCGCTCACGCCAAACACTTTGTTATTACTAAGAGACAGTGATGGTGCGAATGAGAGAAGGTGTAGTAAGAAGAGATGTGCGAAAGCTCTGCCTTCTAAAGGGAGCCGAGTAATTGTAGATTGTAGCTTAGGTTTATGGATGTACAGGCGTACTGTTGTAAGTCCTGTGCCTCCCATTGATATAGAGCAGTTAGTAAGGAGAGCCATGACAGAAATGTATTCTAAGGTGTCTTTGCGTAGCTGGAGGGATTTTGGGGGCCGGTGTAACGGAAAAAGAACAGTGAAAATCCCTCTGCAGCTTCTTTGTTGAACAGTATTTTCATTTATTTGTTCCTTCTCCCTTTTGTGTATTCCAACCTTTGTTTCGATCTCGTTTAACCATGTCTTTTGTTCTTCAGTCTTCCCCGTTTGAGCCTTTATTATGTGATTTTGATTAAAGACTTATTTTTGTTACCTAATTTTCTTTTGCATGTTGCCGGACCATTGACAGTAAGGTTGTGTTTGACTAAGCTCAAGGTCACGGCGTGGTTCATTTTGTGACTGTTAACCTTCTGGCTGTCTGCTTGGGAGAATTGCTGCAATCCCTGCAGATAGATATTTGATCCCATCTGATTGGGAATATTTGTATTGATTCTGAGCGCACTACTTTGCGTTAGAGAAACTTCTGACTGTATAGCACAGGCTATACCGTTTGAGGTATTTTGTATTTTTGATGTAATTTGTTCTGTTTTCTTAATTAGAACCGTTTATATTGAGCACAGAGTTTGTGTTTTGATATAATATAATACGAGTATCTCAAAGACGCGTTGTGAGCTATACAGAGGAACTTGGTCTGGTCTAATTGAATAAATTTTGGGTTCGTCAGTCCGTTGTTCCAACCGAATATTGGCTGTTCGGTCGTTACAGTTCTCAAACGAACAGTAATCTCAGGTGACAAATTCTGGAATGCCTGGAATGCGCAATAAGGTCTACGAAAACTTGGCATTGGGCCACGGAGAAATGCAATCGGATGCACCTCCAGATGTACGGCAAGTCAAATTAGATGCATTTTCATGTCATGGCTATAATGTTAGTTTACTAAGTAGACGTAGTAAAGTTAGCTCTAGGATTACCTTAGCAGAGTTAGAAGAAGGGCAATTATTAGAAATGTGGGACTTGAAAGATAGACAGAGGAAACAACTGCTGTGCTTTCAGAGAGAGTTTGGGTCGTTAAGGCTGAACGAAAGCACGTGTAGCAAGTTATCTTCTGTTTCTAACAGTGATGACAGAGAAAAGGAGTACGTTCACAGGTTCGTAAGTCCTTCTCATGACCTTAGGATAAAGTCTCTAGAAAAGTCAAAACTGTTAGATTATCCAGGAACGAAGGAGAAAGTGACCTTGGAATCTCTAAGTGTAGGTCATGAACTTCCAACAGTAGAGCGCGATGCCTACTTCGATGAAAGTTACAATATTGTTCCTTTACCTAGAGGAGTGGCTGAGGAAGACATTGCTACCCCTGTTATTGGCAATGAATCTGGTATGTGTAAAGCTGGCTTCACCAAAAATGATGCTCCCAGAGCCGTATTACTCCCAATTGTTGGAAGAACTAGACATCAAATAGTGACTGTGGGAATGGATGGAAAGGACAGTCATGTGGAAGACGATGCTCGATCGAAACGTGTTATCCTCACACCGAAGTACCGAATTGAACATGGTATTGCGACTAAGTGGGGTGATATGGAGAAGATGTGGTACCACACATTCTACAAAGGGTTGCGAGTGGAAACAGAGAAACATCTGGGGTTGTTGAGAGCAGTTTCATTGAACCTGAAGGCAAACCGTGAGTTGACAAAGATCATGTTTGAGACTTTTAATACACCAGGTACGTGTGCTGCTACTCAAACGGTGTTGTCGCTATGTACATTTGATCGTACAACTGATATAGTGTTGGACTTAGGTGACGGTGTGACCCACACAGTTCCGATTTATGAAGATTATGCGTTGCCTTATACTGTTTTGCGATTGGACTTTGCTGGTAGAGTTCTTGCCGACTTTAGGATGAAGATCCTGACTAAGACAGGTTGCAGTTCCTCTGTCTATTCGTGGAACATACTCAGGCGCAAACCACCGGACATCGTTTTACTCTATAGTGAGTCTAGAATGGCACCTATAAAACAGGTAGCTGTGCCTAGACTGGAACTAACAGCGGCAGTATTGAGTGCTAGAATGGGGGGAGTTTTAAATAAGAACCTTCCTCATGTGTTTGACAAGACTCACTTCTGGACGGATTCTATGATAGTACTGTACTATAGAAAAAATACAGATAGTAGGTATTCCACCTTCGTGGCTAATCGTCTGGCCGCTATTCGTCATTTAACATCTGTGGACCAGTGGGGGCACGTAGAATCCAATGAAAATCCTGCTGACTGAACATCACGAGGCATACGGAAGGAGCTAGATTTAAAGAACTGGATTGAGGGTCCTTCCTTCTTGAGGAAGAGGGAGTCTGTAGGAACACTAGCGCTTATGTGCGAAAACCCCCCAGAAAATGTTGAATTTAAAAGATGTCACACGACCAACGCAGTTGCGAAAAAACATAGCTTAAGTCCAATTCTGCTATATCACTCAAATTGGATAAAGCTGATTAAAGCGGTAGCATGGCACAGAAGATACGTGACCTATATAACCATCATGTACTCCCGTCACAATGACAGGTCCCTAAGTGTGGGCTATCTGTCAGTTGATGAATTGGATGCAGCTAAACACAAGGTATTAGACTTAGTGCAAAAGGAAGTGTATGGGGAGGCAGTAAAAGTGTCTCGATGCAATGGCGTAAGCGCAACTGATATAAAAGAGCTAAAAAATCTTTCACCTACGCTAATCGATGGATTGCTTTGTGTCGGCGGACGATTAAATTACTCAGATTATCCACTCTCAATCAGACATCCGGTAATTTTACCCAGTCATCACTTCGTAACAGAACTTATTATTAGACACCATCACCACCTAGAAGGTCACACCGGGACATTACAAGTGTTAGCTACCATACCACGAAATTATTGGATTGTTAAAGGAACCAGTGCAGTTAAACGAGTGATAGGTAGATGTGTGAGGTGTATACGCGTGACGGCCACATTAGGCCAACAGATGATGGCACCTCTCCCCAAGTGTCGAGTGCAGCAAAGCTGGTTTTGCTTGTCCTCCGTCGGGATAGACTACTTTGGGCCGTTGATAGTGCGTCGGGGAAGAAGTGAGGAAAAAGGATATGGATGCCTATTTACGTGTCTCCAAACACGTGCCGTACGTTTGGAAGTAGCTTTCAATTTGAGTATTGATGCTTTTATAATGGCTTTAATACGTTTCATAGGAAGGAGAGGAACTCCTAAGGAAATTTATAGCGACAATGGGACTAACTTTGTCGGGGCCACTTCCGAATTACGGGCTAATATGAGTGTGTGGGACAAGCATAGAATAAACGACTTAACAGTATCGAATGGTATACGCTGGCATTTCAACCCCCCACTAGCTAGCCATCGAGGCGGAGTTTGGGAGAGATTAATACGGTCTGTTCGGAGGATCTTACTATTTATTTCCAACGGGCAAATATTACACGAGGACAGATTGGCAACTTATTTTGTGGAGGTAGAACGAATTTTAAACAACCGCCCAATCGTTCCTGCGACGTCAGATGAAAAGGATGATTTGGCGCTCACGCCAAACACTTTGTTATTACTAAGAGACAGTGATGGTGCGAATGAGAGAAGGTGTAGTAAGAAGAGATGTGCGAAAGCTCTGCCTTCTAAAGGGAGCCGAGTAATTGTAGATTGTAGCTTAGGTTTATGGATGTACAGGCGTACTGTTGTAAGTCCTGTGCCTCCCATTGATATAGAGCAGTTAGTAAGGAGAGCCATGACAGAAATGTATTCTAAGGTGTCTTTGCGTAGCTGGAGGGATTTTGGGGGCCGGTGTAACGGAAAAAGAACAGTGAAAATCCCTCTGCAGCTTCTTTGTTGAACAGTATTTTCATTTATTTGTTCCTTCTCCCTTTTGTGTATTCCAACCTTTGTTTCGATCTCGTTTAACCATGTCTTTTGTTCTTCAGTCTTCCCCGTTTGAGCCTTTATTATGTGATTTTGATTAAAGACTTATTTTTGTTACCTAATTTTCTTTTGCATGTTGCCGGACCATTGACAGTAAGGTTGTGTTTGACTAAGCTCAAGGTCACGGCGTGGTTCATTTTGTGACTGTTAACCTTCTGGCTGTCTGCTTGGGAGAATTGCTGCAATCCCTGCAGATAGATATTTGATCCCATCTGATTGGGAATATTTGTATTGATTCTGAGCGCACTACTTTGCGTTAGAGAAACTTCTGACTGTATAGCACAGGCTATACCGTTTGAGGTATTTTGTATTTTTGATGTAATTTGTTCTGTTTTCTTAATTAGAACCGTTTATATTGAGCACAGAGTTTGTGTTTTGATATAATATAATACGAGTATCTCAAAGACGCGTTGTGAGCTATGTAAGATCCAAAGTACGTTTGGACTGCTGGACAGCTGTCTGGATGAGTTAGATACGCGCCCTCACCCGATTGAAACCAAAACAAAGTAATTGGGTAAGATAGCGGTTCTATAATTTATCATAAAATTAAGTGTACATTATTACCTAAACAAATATAACCACTCAGCTATCCAACCAATAATTGTTCAATTGATCAAATCTAAACTACAATAAATAAGAAAGTTGATAAAGGATGCAAGAAAATTACCAATCACCACAAATAAATGTTATTCTATCCTGTCTGGATAGATCACGTACAGATTCGTTCAAAAGGTAATAATTGGTCTCTCTATAACACAGAGTGTTTTCAATTCCGGAAGGGTGCTTCACTTCACAACCAAAATGCACAATTCCAGTCAACACAGGTCAAGCAATCAAAGCAGGAACAAACCAAAATGGCTGCCGCCAAGACTAAGTGTCAAGTAAAACAACATATGTGCAGTTCGGGTAGAAACATGGGGAATTAGTGAAGGTGTAGTAAAGACGAAAACTATAATAAAATACAGATATTAACAATTCAAATGTAGCCAAAAAGTTAACAATGTACAACTAAGGGGATCAATAGGAACAAAGTGCAAGTAAATACATGGAGGGATTTTCACAGACACACAAAGCATTCAAAATGGATCTTACAAGCTATACAGAGGAACTTGGTCTGGTCTAATAGAATAAATTTTGGGTTCGTCAGTCCGTTGTTCCAACCGAATATTGGCTGTTCGGTCGTTACATTAATGCTGTTTGGTGGTCTTTGGATAAAAGCTTAGACTGTGGTGCGGGCGAAACAAGATATTGGTTTGCAATATCGACTAGTTTAGATTTAAACCAGCCTTTCCTTTCTTCACAAACTGGGTGCAACTCTTTAATTTGGTCAAATAAATTCTCAAATTGAGTTTCTGTGTCGATTCTGTCGGCATGTGTTTTGGGGATATGAAATTTAAATCCAAGTGACTAGGCTTCTGTTTCTATCTGATTTAACTGCATTGTTGATAGATTATAGAGAAACTTTTCAGGATTTTCCGAAAATCCAAAACATAATTGTTCCTTTGACAGAGTCTTTGACAAAGTTACGTGGAAATTCTTGCATATTTTGCTTTGCAGATCTTGTATAAAGTTGATAAATTTTATGCGACATACGACACTTAGATTGTTGATTAATTCATCAAAGGCATTAATTTCTGCCCTCAAACTTTCAACCAGTAACTTTGTTGATTCAATGTGAAATTTTGTGATGCGTCGAAGATTTTTAAGAGAAGGCGGAAGTTTAAATGAATGTAAAGACTTTAAGAACTGACGTGGGAAACGGCATGACTTAAGACATTCATCAAAATTCCGAGTTGAAGGCATAATATAACACTTTCATCTACTAGTGGAAGCCGCTCCTCCACTTGTGAATGTCACAGTTATTAGACACATCACCATCCAAATTGTCCATGAGCTTGTAGATTTATCTTTTAACTCGGTATAAGTATCACAGTAATGATAAACCTAATCCTAAAATTGTAAATATGCCACATTGTGACTAACTAATCGATAAAATCTTACGTGGAAGTCACATCATATCCTACACTGGCGTGTCCTGTCGTGACAAGTGATGTAACTTAAAGCGCTTTTGAAGGACACGTTTGGAGTGAGAAGAGAGTACTATAAAATACATCGTGGTGGTTGGCAATCTGCGTTAAAGAGAATGAACATTAATAATATGTCGATTCCCCAGCTGCTAAATTTTAACTGCCGATCACTAATCAACAAAGTGGGCTATCTGCGATTCCTACTAAGTTAAAATATGTATCGTAATTGTGGTGTCATCACAATTCAAGAATCTTTGTTAAATGATATACAGGACGACTGCCTTGTATCACTACGTGATTTCAAGAATTTATCGTCGGGATAGATCCAACAATAAAAAGAGGTGTGACGGCGGTGCAGCTACGTTTGTAAACGTAAACTGGTGTCGATATCCGTTTATGTGTTTTAAGTTTTCAAATGACTTTATCGACTGTCTAACTTTAAGATATCGTCCAAAACATCTGAATAAATACAAATACGTTTGTGTTACCAATATCTACGTGACTCCAGACTGCACATCATCTGCACTATCTGTTTTCGCTGATGAATTCACTGAGTTCGCTGTTACTGACTTCAGTAATTCACTTTCAGCTGTATGTGGTGGTTTCAATTCATGTGACTGTAGCTTCCTTACGTCACTAGGTCACCAAAATGTAGTACATTTTCCTACCCGTCTGGATGCTCATTTAGACTTCGTTTTCATTGATGATGTGGGTATATATGTGACTCGTAAACGTGCTCCATTGTCTAGCTCGGATCACTGTATAATTCGTGTTCAATGTAAAGTATATGGGAAGCATGGGAAGAGTACACTCTTACATTACCCAGAAGAAAATATCCAAAATCTGATAAACATGTTTCATACGACTAACTAGGAATTATTTGCAGATGACTCACTGGAAATCACTACCGATGTTACCACTTGCCACCTTAAATTCTGTTTTGATATTTGTTGTCGCACTGAAACCCTATTTGTAAGTTTTGATCAACTTAGATCTACACAACTAAAACGACTACGGAGGGTGAAAGAAAAAATGTATCAGGAGCAAAACTCTAATGAAGTTCGTAAGCTAAATGGTCTGATAAACCTGGAGATTAGACGTCTCAACTGCATGTTTACTCAAAAACTCCCGTCTTGCAAAAACTCTCCAAGTATGTGGAAACACTTTAAAGAACTTATAGGTGACAGACAGTTTAGCAGCGATAACCAGCTGAATGTTTGTGACTTAAATAAGTCTTTTGTACGTCGGTCGTCTGATGTAATGCTCCTTTTATCCGCAAGTTCAAAGAATAGCTGTGTCCATA